TGGTGGCCCGCCAATGAATAGCCCTGCAATTGGCTTCAACTGATTTCTTTATTCTAAGTTAGAAAATATGTTTTTTGACCAATAGTTTTAGTTTTAATTGACTAAAATAGTTTAATCAGTCATAACAGATCTATAATTTGTAAGTAAACTCAGCATTAGTCTGTATTTTTACTCAAAAACTGTTCTGAATTCAAATATTATTATAAATGACTGGATTCAAAACACAAATTGCCAATCCATTAGGGTTACCCACATAAGATATCTTTGACCTGTCCTACACTTGCATCATGGTCACTTGGTCACCGTATTTAACAACATAATCATGTGTTGTTCCAGCACAGTGTGTTGTTTAGCAGCTAAAGCTCTTGTGGTAACTCAAGCAGCGCGAGCCAGACGTGCCGCACTGGCAAACATGTTGAGATATTCACTGTGACAATGAGCTTGATCATAATTATCTTAACAAGGAGTGGGTTCATTGGTGTGGCTCGTTAAATCTATCTCTCTTTCTCTCTCTCATGTCTCCCCGTCCATCTCTCTCCTTCTTGCCTTAGATCAGACGGCGCTCCCTGCATTGTGCTATTCTGTCATTGTGGTGTGACTTTGAAGACGCTGGTGAAAATGTGCAGTCAGTTTTGGATTCCCCATGGGGACGAGGTGTAAATCAGAGAGGTTCCTACCTGAGAGGGTGTTTGTGTGTGATTGAGTTTTAGATTGCTTGTGTATTGACATTTGGTTTTCATAAGTGAATGTACAGGATTTACTCACCTTTAGGTTGTTTGTTATTCTGTGAAAGACTTTCCATATAAAAACAGATCAAGGTGTCTGTGTCAATCAGAGAAACAAAGAAATTCCATTGAAGTGTCAAAAAACATTGTATTTATTTTTAAATGTAACTTGGCAAAGCTTTGCAAGCTAATTTAAATATGCAGAATGCAAGGTATCCATACATAAAGTGTTATCCTTTAGGCTACACAATATTAGTCTAATCTGTTTTATGTCAAAGTTGTGTAATGGTATAAACTATTATCTTTTTGGACATGACTGTTTGCTTTGTAGTCATAGTGGATGACAAACAATGCCCAATGCCATTTTTGCATGTTAAAAAAAAAAACAAAAAAACAAAAAAACAACCGTACAATAAAACACATTTTTTGTCCTGTTATTTAGTTTCTTATTCTATTTCTTTTTTATTCCATGTTGCCTCAAATTTACATTTACTTTAGATCACACAGTTGTGACTTTTTTGTATAATACATTGTCTTTTAGTTTATATATATATATATATATATATATATATATATATATATATATATATATATATATATATATAGATAAATATATAGATATATAGATAGATACCCGGAAGGGACGTAATGGTGAGGAAAAAATGGGTAGTTCTCATTAGATTATAAGTAGATTATTAGGTTGAGGTTAGTGTTAAGCAGGTCGCACACCAGAAGCGCCGCTCGGTGCCGCGACACGGCACGCACATGACAGTTTAAAGTATCACATACCAGACATGCACATTCACATGATATTTAACATGAAACTAACCAGATGGCGCTTTGTGGTGCGGCTGAAATATGAACTGTGTCCTGAGTCGTGGCTGGGCACTGCCGACTTGCGGCGCCGGTGTGTGTACCCTGTTAGAAACCTATATTTAGAATTCTAAAATGCATGGCGTTGTGCGGCGCATCACTAAGCAGCGCTTCTGGTGTGCGACCTGCTTTAGTGTACCTCATCCTCAGGTAACATGCTGGTTCATTACCCCGATCTGTTCCAGGACCTCTTAATTCACAAAGTAAGCATTGGTGCCGACATATAGTGTGGCAGCACTTTAGGGCATCCCAAGTTTGAATCCCAGCTCGAGGACCTTTCCTGATCCTACCCCCCTCTCTCTCTCTTCCACTTCACTTCCTGTCTCATTACTGTCCTATCTAATAAAAGCAAAAAAAACCAAAAATAAATCTAAAAAATATTTTAAAAAAAGATTCATTTGCCACTCTTCACATTTTGAGGTGTCACTTTAACTGATGTGTACAGAAGCTGATCTTAGTAACTGTGCACATTTAAGAGAAAATGAGTTGTGTTTAAAATAAAACGCATAGGATGGACATTTTTACATATTATTGTGTATTTGTCTGTTAAAAACAGTAACACTTTATTTTGATGGTCCATATAAGTATTAGTAGACTGTCTGCTTTTACTGCTCCTTCAACAGACATTTAACTGATTATAAGAAATTAACCCTAACCCCAACCTAACAGTCTACTTATGATTTAATGAGAATTAGTTTAGATGCAATGTAATTTAAATTCAACAAATGGATCATCAAAATAAAGTATGACCTAAAAAAACGCGAATCCCAAAGTGTCCTGCACTTTAGCTCCTCTTTAAATAGCATGTACAGAAGCTGGATGAGTTAATCATACAGAGCTCGTCCGTCAGTCAGCACTTATACATGCATTCGCTGATTCAGGTTGCATATAAAGGGCGATGATTGACACACAGCTTTAATACAAAGAAAGTAAATGCAGACATTTTTATAATTATTTTAACGTACTTTCAAGAAATATGGGAAAATACTTAATGACAGGATAAAAGTGGGATAGAATGGTGAAATTTAGGAGAATCCCAGCAAAAAAGGTAGGGTTGACATGTGTGAAGTCAACAGGAAGTGTTTGTGAAACAACAGTTTTGCAAGGGAACGGAATATCTTTGCAAATGAACGCAAATATATATATATATATATATATATATATATATATATATATATATATATATATATATATATATATATATATATATATTGTTATTACTCAGTACTCTTTTCTCCTATCCATTTTTCCCCACCATCACATCACTTCTGGGTGTCTGTAATTGTTTAATGATTTGTAATTAATGTCTTTATTCATTTATTTTTTTAGTATATTTTCATATTTTTCACTAAGGTAGATTTGTGCTTCCATTGTAAGGCTGCAAGGAGTAAGTGAACAACAATCTACATTTCAGGCGAACCAATAAAAACACATGGCAATTAATCATTCAGTTAGTACCACATTTTGAAAGTTTGCCACTTCTGCACTGTACAGATGTTGCAAATAATACAGCAGTGCAAATGTTTAGGCACAATGCGTTGTGGGTAAATTAGGGTTGAATCCCTGTTTGTTGTTCTGAACGCGATTTGGCCGCTCCCTTGGCTGTGAATTTAACTGATTAAATCACCTTTTGCACACAGCAGTAGTGACACGAAAACAACAATTAATAAGCAACCCCCTGTGACGCGTGGATGCCTCTTAACTAAGCGGCTAATAACATTACACCCGCCCAGATACAGGCGAGGCAAACAGGTGGAGGGGGCTCGCAAAACAGCTTTCATTTATCGAGCAGGGACATTTTTCCGCATACGCAGTTTTGCTCAATTTGAACGTATTTCTCATGTGATTGGAGTTGTTGGCGCTCCACTGTAATATTTTTACTTTGTTCCTCATCTAAAGACCATAAAATTTCATCAGCCATGTTGTACACGATAAGAGCGAGGTATTTGCATAACACAACAACAGAGTTTTATGACACTGACAGCAGGACCGATTTGTTCGTTGGTACAATAGTTGGGCGTCTTCCAAAGGCAGACTTCACCTGGCTAGAAATCAACATTTAAGCTTCTTCACAGATTGCCATGGGATTTTCCATGCTGTTTATGCCACAAAGGGTCTCACAACAAACCAAATTGATAAGATTATAGGCATGGGACAATAACTGGTTTCAAGGTTTACTGCGTTTTGGAAAAGTTAAGGTGTTAAAACTGCAAACAAAATATGATATACCATTTCTAAGGTATATGTTAACATTTTTTTGAGTGTTTTTTTTTTCATGTATTGTAATGAAAACTCTGTTTTTGAAACTAATGAAGACAGCAGAAGTCAATGATTTATTTAAATGTGTACCTTGACATGTTTAATGTTCCAAATTATCATAAATGTTTCCTAAATTGTAATATATTGTGTTCAATGCAGGATTTTTTTTTTTTTTTTTTTTTAAGACATTTAAAAAGAACTTATTTTAGAGCAGTAAAAATGATGCCATGATTATACTTTTATTCAAGGTTATCATACCACCAGAAACTTATACCGGCCCATGTCTATAAGATTATGCCATGCAAGTGTTATTGTTCCATTTCACCTCAAAATCACATCAGATTGTTCTTTGCTCAAGGACTCTGACAGATCTAAATGTCAATTAACTAAGGGTGGACATATTAACGTTGTAGGATGTCAGCCTCTGCCATTTGAAGGATTAGAAACACACACCCGGGCTTTTATGCACCTTCCACACCATGAACTTTGGAAGGCCCCAACATTACCCTGAGCACCACCCTCCATCATGTTTATGCCAGCGCAGGGCGGGGAAAAGACCTAGACAGAGAGAAAGTCCTTGGGGACTGTGTGCATGGGGATTAGGTATCGTGATGGTGAATAAAAGGAGAAACGTCAAACTTTTACCCCCTAAAAGCAATTGTTTTTAACTCTTAAGTGGTGAAAGTTGCAGAAGTTGTACTCTTTTCCGTTTGTGGCTAGGCATTATAGCTGCGCTGGGAAAATGATGGATGACGAGTTAAATTTGTGTTGGGGGAGTGAAGGTGAACTGTGACAGAGTTATTTATCTTGGGAATGGAGGGTTAGGGTCAGGCAAAGCTGGGTGCCTGAAGGCACAAGACATTGACAAATTCATCCCGCACACTGCATTTCTGAAGCCCTTTTGTTTTGAATCCTGGCTACTCACGAGTGACCCTCATCACTCACACTGCCAGCGTGTGAAGGATGCCGCACCATGCCAGGGGATCTTAGCGCCACTAATTCTTATCATTCACTCTCCTGACAGTCCCAAGCCCAAACTATTCCGGCCTGTGAAAGAACCCGCCTGAAATATTTATTTCTGCACATAATGGCTGCCCAGATTTAGGGCCATATCATTTTTCCTCTCTTGCCTTATCATTGCAGGTCACTGACAGGCCTGAAAGCGTTCAGCCAACTGGAAGAGCTGATTGTGGACAACAATCTTCTCGGAAATGACCTCCGGTTGCCCAGGTTACCACGGCTCCATACCCTAACGCTCAATAAGAACCAAATATCCTTTCTCTAGCTTTGCTTTGCAGCTTTCATGCTTGACCAAAACGACAGGATACTCAGAGGGTTCCTCTGAGATACAGTGGAGGATTTCCTTTTGCCACACTTTGCCTCTGTAAATGATGTTATTGTGTTAAATTGAGCTCCTGTCTAATAGGCTTGCTTCACTTGAGTTTGTGCCATGGTGACCTCTAGTGGAGGAGAGGCTAAACGAAATCTTCAGTGCAGTCTCATGACTGAAAGATAAAGCTCTTTCTTAGAAACAGATCATATCAGCGTGACCCATATCATTGTTACAATATATTAGCATAGAGCCACATGAGCAAAGAGCAGAGCAAACAGAGTTTGTTAACCCAAATTTGAACTCCCAGTATAGAATTAACTGTTTGATAAGCTAACACACAAGCTAACTCAAGCTAAAAATGAAAAAAAAAAAATTCAAATCTTTAAAGTCAGACTAGAAATTTCAGGTTTCCTTCCACTGACAGTCAACAATTACATCACTATGACACGTTACATTTAGTTTGTGTGATGAGACGCAAAGAGAAATAAATGGCGAAAGTAAATGTGCTAGCCTGACGAAAATTTATGCTCTGCTGTTTGTCGCTGGATGCTATCCATCTACATAATAATGACGCAGCCTCACCCTCTGTTCTCCAAACAGCTCTCCTCCGACAGAGTGTCAGCAGCTCAGACCCGAATTCTGCTGTGAAGTGGTCTGCACATGCTAATGGGCCAATTATTTACATCCTGTAGTGGCCTGCTGCCATTGAAATTCAAGTGCTGCATTAGTGTGGTTGTATTTTGACACGTTTCGGGCACCATTTTCCAATGAAGTGAATGTATTAGTGATGAATTTTCTGTGAAGTGGCTGTTTGTTTCCCTGCACTGGGTGAAGGGGGGGTGTCCATGGCTCAGGGAGTCACTAACTGTTTTTACCACAAGGCATCCATCATTTTGTCAATGTTTTTAATGTTCTGCACTAAGCCACCCAGGAAATGGGAAGAGGAACGAGAGAAGAGAGCAGCCAAACTCGCAGCAAATGCCAAAATCTCGCCCTTAAATTTGCCCGTTCTTTGTATTTACAAGCACAATGTCTGTTGAGCTCTTTTCTGGAAGGTTTCAGCGAATTTGAGTTGTGCTTGCTGGCCAGACCAGGCGAGAGTGCAGAGTAAATGCTAATGTAATTAACAGCCCAGATTCCTTGACCTCTGCCCTGTGACACCTCACCGACATCGAGGCCCTGCTGGAGCATTTGGTGGAAGTGACGCCAGCCCTGGAATACCTGAGCCTTCTGGGAAACGAGGCCTGTCCCAACCAGCTGGTCAGCATGGATAAAGATGAGGACGACTATCAGAGATACAGGTCAGAACATTCACATTTTCAGTAAATATACACATGTATACAAAAATCTGAATCTACAGTGGAAATTTGGGATTTCTTTGAAACTTAAAAAAATAATAATAAATAAAACGAAGAAATTTTGTGTTTTAATATAAGTTATGACTATTTCAGATTCTAGATTATTCACAGTACCACTTAAAGCATTATTATTAATTTTTAATTTGCCAAGGGTGTATTAAATTTGTTCAAATTTACATTTAGCGATTTGTAAGTGATGACTGTACTTTATATTTATTAAAAATACAAATAAATAAATAAATATTTGGCAGCATTAGTTCATAGTTCAGGTGTGTGCTAATTTAATAAACATTTGACAAAAAAGGCGTGTGCATTAATGTATAGGTTCTATGCAATACTGTAGCTACAGTGACTGCATCTTTTATACTGTTTACAACAAAAGGCAGAACATCACTCACTGAGCTAGTATTAGATTTAGGCTCATGTGACCCTAAAGACTAGAAAAATGGCTGCTGAAAATTCCGTATTGCTATCACAAGAATAAATTAAATTGAATTATACAAAGTTTTGGTTTGTTTAATATGAGCAATATCATATGAGTAGCAGTGCGATATGGCTGTATATCAGCACTGCTGGGAGGTGTGTATTGCCATATAAGGGGTCACACACCAGAAGCGCTGTGTTGTGCCACACAGTGCCATGCATTACATAATTCTAAACAGGTTTCTATCAGGGTACGACACTGGCGCCACAAGTCGGCGGCTAGCGCGGCACCCAGCCATGACTCAGGCACTGTTCATATTTCTGCTGTGCCAGAGCTCCATCTGAATAGTTTCATATTAAATAACATACGAATGTGCTCTTCTGGAGTTTAATAATTCCAACTGTCATGTGCGTGCCGTGTCGCAGCGCATCCAGTGTGCGACACACTTTAATGTCCCACTAGTGATGATATACAGCCATACCGCACTGTATACAAGTGTGATATTGCATTTATATAACAATTCAACGGCATAATCATGAATATATTTAAAAAAAAACACAAGAGTCTAAAAACCCTTTTGTATGAGGAACTACATTCTTCTGCCATTCATTTACATCTGCAGATGTCAGAAGAGCAGAAATCGTTACTAATTTACTATCGTCATTTTAGAGCTATATTTGAATGATTATTTAAAGTGAGAATCAGCATGTTAATATCTAAAGTGATGACAAAACAGGGGATTTTGCTGATAGTTTATTAGTTTATTAAGATTATAAGGCTAAATGGCATGAAATGCCATCAGTCTAGAGACAATTCTCAGTATTTTTCTGTTTCAGTCGTGAGATCACAATAGTTAACCTCAAAAAAGCCAAAGCAGCGCCAACACTACTAGATTACTGGGTTGTTTGCGATAAGGAAATTTGCCAAACACATGCAGACATTTCTTTTTTCTTTCTTTTTACTGAACTCTGCAATAAAGAAAACAGTAGACTCATTACAAACAAACAGATGGCCAACCAAAAAGTAACTCAGGGTTATGCAAAGAGTGGCCAACACAAAATGCACATATTCCTTATCTGCGAGTCCCATCTCACACTCAGTACACTACAATTGCTGTGGTATGAATACAGCATTTCAACTTACAAAAGAGAGAGATCAACTCAGAATGTCACCAGTTTAATAATGATTTGATCTGCTGTAGTTTAAAATTACACTATTTTTTCCCTCTAAGGGCTTTTATTTTTTTGCTGTCTCTGTCACCATCTTGTGGATGGACAATGTCAACCGTCTTCGCTCTGCTCACTAATAGGCTAATGTCCACCGACACGCTGTCTCTTCGAAATTATAAACATATAAAATAGGCACTATACTTATAAGTAAACTGCATAGTTGCAATATAAACAACTACATATTCGACCAAAAAAAAAAAAAAAAAAAAACTCAAAAGTACATTGTTGCCTAACAGCAGCAACATTTGATCTCTATACATGGGAATATTTGAATGTCCTCTGCTTGTCGCTGTATGTGGGCAGAGTAATACACAAATATATACACAATTTGTTTTGCTGATATGTTTTCATTTCTTGTGAAAAAGGAGAAATACCCCAGGAGTGTGTAGTTTGGCAACTTTCAGTAATCTTTTATTTGGATGAACGACTGTTGCACAACACCATAAATCACATTGCACAAGCAAAGACTGATACTTTAGGCTATAACCACACTCCTCTTAAAGCTACTCACCTGCTTTTTTTTTCTTTCTTTCTTGCTTTCTTTCTTTTTCTAGACTTGCAAAATCGATTTCATGTGTGAATTGTGATAACCACAAATGAGTGTTTGCTATCCTTTCCTACAAGATGAAACGATGCATTCATTATCAAGCCCAGGCCTATGGGAGTGCAATGCCACGCTATGTTACCACCATTTGTCAGGTTTTCAACATGAAACCAGGCGGTGGGAAGAAGGGAGGGAGAAACGCATTCTTTTGTCTACCTTAGACCTAAGTGCATTTTTCTTGACACTGTGTTCAGTATGAATCATTTACTATACAGATGAACCCAATAGGCGCCACTCTCGCACACTGTCTCCCATGCTTCACTTGGTGCAGAGGACGACCATTCTCTCCCTGACTGACAGCAGCTGTGTGTTTGTGATGTAATATTCATAATGTGTCACATAGTAATACATCAGTTTGAGCATAATGCAGATTTTATGTCTGACAGGGTTAGGCGAGTGCTCAGGTCATGGCAGGACTGGCCTTGGGCTATGCACTTCTCTGAGAGCTAAAAAAATTAAATAAAAAATTCCAAAAAGAAAAATACGAGCCGTAATGACGCTGTGAAATATCGCACGCCTCTTTGCACTATTTCAATTAGTCAAATGAAATAAACAAGCGTAAATACACTCGGCTGTATTTTACAGCAGTCGCTCGGCTCATTCATCATTGTTTACTTCTGGGGCTCTGGAGTATTTTGTCATTTCTATTTTTTTCTTTTTTAGCTGAAGAAGTACAGCGCTCGACACGGCGACAGCCATCTGTATGTCCTGTCTCTCTAGAACGTTCTCCAGCCCAATGCTGTCTGTGATTGCATGCTTGTCTCTTGACATCATGACGTGTGTGTGGGCTTAAATATCTGTGTTTGCTGAAGATCAGAAAGTTTAGGGCCAGTTTTGCCTGGGGTGCTTTAAACAACACTTGCTGCAGAGCTGCTCCAACCATCTGTTAGATCAGCACAAACAGTTTCGCAATCGTCAGGAAAACACCTGCATATTTTTCTGCTAACAGTGGCTGTTATTATGTTTGTTTGTGATTGAATCATAACCGTAAACAAAACAAATCCGCACCGCTGTCTGCTTAGTCACTCTTCAGGAATTTGTTACTTTAATAGTTGTTTTTCTAAACAGTAGCATTATTGTTAGAATTGCATTTATTTAGGGTTCGGGATGTAAGGAAAGTCACTTTTAAGTATTCAACTTTGGCTGCACATTTTGTTCAGCTGATAAGTACATTTACTGTTACATAAATGTAACCAGAAGTTTACACTTCCTGACAAAAGGCTTGCCACTTGACAGAAATAGTGCGCAGTATAAAATTTATATTGTGTATGACTCCTATGAGCTTGGAAGACTGCTCATTCATAGATCCAAAGACCCATAGATCTCTGCAATGCAAATAATCTAATAATAAAGTCATCTGGAATGGCAACGAAAGTGTTCTTACAGGACTCGCAGAGTTTATCAAGATTCTTTGGATTCATCTTCAATTCCTCCTCCTTTCCCCCTTCATCTTACCCCAGACATGCTCAATAATGTTCATATCTTGTGTTTGGGCTGGCCAATCCTGGAGCACCTTGACCTTCTTTTCTTGAGAAGTAAAACAACATTAAGTATGAGGAGGAGTGCTATTTTGCTGAAGAATTTGCCCTCTCCTGAGGTTTGTAATGTAATGGGCAGCACAAATGTCTTGATACCTCAGGCTGTTGATGTTGCTATCCTTTCTACATATCTCTCGCACACCCCCATACTCAGTGTAACCCCAAACCATGATTTTTCCTTCACCAAACTTGACTGATTTCTATTAAAATTTTGGTTCCATGCAGGTAATAATAGGTATTCTGCAGTATTTGTGATGATTGGGATGAAGTTCAACAGATCTAAAATCTACCTGCTGCTACTTTTCCAAATGGTCAATTAGAAGTCAAGTTATTATTTGTTGCTCTTACAACTGGGATCGACTTTTGTCAGGTAACAAACATACACTGTAAAAGCCACAAAACCATTGGATTTAATGTTTTATGTTAATGTAGACTACACACTTTTTGTTTTAGGTGTTTTAAAGTTACCAAAATATAATTATTTTGCTTAATTCCAGAATTATGAAAGTGAGAATTTTTAGATTTTTTTTTTTAAATATAATTTCTTGACAGTCAGAAGTTTGCATACACTATACAAAAAAAAAAATAAATAAAAATAAAAATAAATGAAATATATATATATATATATATATATATATGGTAACATTACCTTTAAACTACATGACATGACTTCTGTCAAACGTTTTGGGTATCCTTTCACAAGGTTTTCGCAATGGTTTGATGGAATTTTGGCCCACTTTTCCTGACAGAACTGGTGTAACAGAGTCAGGTTTGCAGTCTGCCTTGCTCACAAACACCTTTTCAGCTCTGCCCATAAGTTAAACTCACAGCTTTGTGATGGCCACTCTAAAACATCAGCTAAGCTTTGATTTCTGGCTGATGTCTTAAGACTTTATTATGTATATATTTCTATTTAATTTTCTTTTGTTGTGATGCCATCTATTCTGTGAAGTGCACTAGTCCCTCTTGTAGGAAAACAGCCTGACGAGATGACCCTGCCACCCCCAAACTTCACAGTTGGGATGGTGTTCCCTGACTTGTAAGCTTCTCCCTTTTTCCACCACATGTAACACTGTAAATTAATTAAAAGAAGTATTTTTCTCTGTGTGCATTGGCACTGCTATCTGATTAGCCTTTCAGCCCATGGA